AAATCTACAATGTCTATATTTAAGACCCCAGAGGAAAATAAGGAAGGCCTGGAGAAAACACTCAAGAAAATGTAAGATTCAGGAAAATATTTGACTAAGAAGAGATGAAGGTGTCCTTTTGCAGTGAAAATTGTATACGTAGATTGTGGTAGGAAACAAGAATTATTTTTTGCAATTTTAATATCTGCAAAGTACAGTCTAGGGCAAAAGAGGTTCATGAAAAGTAGTTTGACATGCTTAGTAGCAAAATACTGAAGCCATCTGATTTGCAGCCTTGAAAGATTTACATATACTTATGTACTAATACACTCAATGGTATGGTCTCCTGGCAGTGCATATTTTGCTACTTTAACTGTATGTAGAACAATAATTATATAATGTCTGCTGTATGCATGAGCTAAGTTTTAAAAATAACTATGAGAAAATTGGCATGTTCCTCCGCCCCAGTTCCTGCTTTTTCTAGCTCTGTGATTGTTATAACAGCCTAGTGAAATTGTATATAGTGTTCCATAGTATAACTAAACCTCTCAAGATCACCTGACTTTCTTGAGCATGTGTGCATATCTTAAGTAACTGGAAAGCAAAGCCCAGATACGTGTTTGCCTCTGAACTAATGCTGTAAGCCTAATAAACATTAAAATTTGGTCATAAATATTGTCATAGGAAACATAAATAATAATAACATCAAAATATATTAAGCATTTCCCTTAATGCCTAGTATTGGGTTGGCCAAAAAGTGCCTTCGGTTTTTTAAGTAAAAAGAAAAGACACGTTTTTCGTTTTCACCAAGAACTTTATTGAACAACGTATTCACCCTTTTGTTCCACTACCTTCTGCCATTTTTCAAGCAACTTCATAATTCCATCTTCCCAAAACTTCTAATCTTTTTGAGCAAAGATCTATTCCAAGTGCATCTTACAGTCTTCCAGAGAATTGAAATTTTTTCCATTAAGAGAATTTTGTAAAAACTGAAATAAATGGAAATCCGAAGTTGCAATGTCTGGTGAATTTAGCGGATGAATCAGAACTTCCCAGCCAAGCTGTAACAGTTTTTGCCTTGTCATCAAAGAAACATGAGATCTGGGGACTTCCCTGGTGGTGCAGTGGTTGAGAGTCCGCCTGCCAATGCAGGGGACGCGGGTTCGTGCCCGGGTCTGGGAAGATCCCACATGCCGCAGAGCGGCTGGGCCCATGAGCCATGGCCACTGAGCCTGCGTGTCCGGAGCCTGTGCTCTGCAACGGGAGAGGCCACGACAGTGAGAGGCCTGCGTACCCCCCAAAAAAAAAACAAAAACATGAGATCTTACGTTATTCTGATGGAAGATTATGCATTTTCTGTTCATTAATTCTGGACACTTTTCGTCGAGTGCTGCTTTCAGTTGGTCTAATTGGGAGCAGTACTTGTTGGAATTAATCATGGTTTTCCAGAAGGAGCTCATAATAGAGGACTCCCTTCCAATCCCACCATATATACAACATCACCTTCTTTGGATGAAGACTGGCCTTTGGTGTGGTTGGTGGTGGTTCATTTCACTTGCCCCACAATCTCTTCTGTTCCACATTGTTGTACAGTATCCCGTTTTCATTGCCCATCACAATTTGTTTTAAAAATGGAATGTTTTCGTGACATTTATGTAGAGAATCTCATGTGGAAATATGGTCAAGAAGGTTTTTTTCACTTAACTTATGTGGAACCCAAGAATCAAAGTGATTCACATAACCAGGCCGGTGCAAATGATTTTCAACTTTTGATTTGGATATTTTGAATATGTCAGCTATCTCCTGTGTGGTATAACGTTGATTGTTCTCAATTATTGTTTCTATTTGATCGCTATCAACTTCAACTGGTCTACCAGACTGTGAAGCATCGTCCAGTGAGAAATCTCCAGCAGAAAACTTTGCAAACCAATTTGACACATTTGATCAGTCACAGCACCTTCTCCATACACTGCACAAATCTTTTTTTGAGTTTCGGTTGCATTTTTACCTTTCTTGAAATAATAAAGCATAATATGCTGAAAATGTTGCTTTTTTTCTTCCATCTTCAGTATTAAAAAAGCTACATAAAAATTCTCCAATTATGGGCTTCCCTGGTGGCGCAGTGGTTGAGAGTCCACCTGCCGATGTAGGGGACGCGGGTTCATGCCCCGGTCCGGGAAGATCCCACATGCCGCGGAGCGGCTGGGCCTGTGAGCCATGGCCGCTGAGCCCGCGCGTCCGGAGCCTGTGCTCTGCAACAGGAGAGGCCACAACAGTGAGAGTCCTGCATACCGAAAAAAAAAAAAAAAAAAAAAATCACCAATTTTGATGGGTTTTTTATGTATTTTTTTTAATGCATGCTGATATGACAGCTGTCACATAACGATCTAACAAAATTGTTTCCAAGGAAGTTAAAGACAACTAAGTGCTACTAGAGCCATCTTATGGAAAAAACTGAACGAACCTTTTGGCCAACCCAATGTATAGTAAGCCCCCAATGAGTATTTGTTAAAGAATAAATAAGTGGCATATTATAGAGCCTTTGTGTTGGAAATCCATATTTATTAAGCCTTCCGTATAAAGTACCCGAGGAGGATAAAATTATGCCACAAATGTTAATGTAATTTAAAAGCTGCAAATGTAGGTTATTACCAGATTGGCTGTCTACTTCGGGCTAATTCGACAGTTACAAAGTCTCTAATCCGTTTTTTATGAATAACCTGTGTTTTCAGTTTTGTTTTATATTTGATATCACCCCTTGAAAAATTAAATATTTTCCATTGTTTTAAAGTCCTAGGCAGAAGATGGCCAAGGAAAGATGCCTCAAAAAGTCCTTTCAAGATAGTCTTGAAGACATAAAAAAACGAATGAAAGAGAAAAGGAATAAAAACTTGGCAGAGATTGGCAAACGAAAGTCTTTGATAGCTGCACCATGCCAAATAATCAGTAAGAAATTTTCATGTTGTCCTTTACATCACTGTTTAAGATCAGATTTAATAACTGATAAAAAAATTTTTATTGTCTTTTAGCCAACACTTCCACACTGCTAAAAAACTACCAAGACAACAACAGAATGTTAGTCTTAGCTTTGGAAAATGAAAAGTCCAAAGTGAGAGAAGCCCAGGATATCATCTTACAGCTGAGGAAAGAATGTTACTACCTCATGTGTCAGCTGTACACACTGAAAGAAAAACTTACTTCACAACAGACAGAAGAACCTGCTCAGGTATTTTGATCACAAAGGCTCAATTTCTTGGGAAAAATGTTAAAGCCATGAATTAGTAGTTTAGATCAATTTTGTTTTTTAAATTAATTACTGGTAGCTCTGTTATTAGTGAAGTGATGAGAACATCTTTCTTCAGTGCTGCAGCCCAGTTGTATGTGGGCCAGTTAAGAAAGCTTCAAGCATATACCTGTAGCTGATTGAGGCTTATACTCGTATAACTTGCTTCTGAAAGCAGGTAGCAAGACAACGTATAAAAGAAATAGTTTAGCCTCTTGCACAGCCAGACCCTTTGAATGGCAGCGATGTGAGTCAAAGGTAGGGGCAACCAAGCCAAAGGTCTAAAAGTGGTTGTGGAAGCAGACTAGTCCAAAGGTTTTAATCAATGCTATTAATCTTAGCTTTTCTATGTAGTTTTGCTACACCAGTGGGGTTTTGAAAGGACTACGTTGACTGGGGAGATGGGAAGTATTTAAGCGCTTTATGGAGAATCACTTTTACCTACTAGTTGGCTAAATAAGGACAACTATATATTAACTCCCAAACAAGAAATATCCTGAACATTTTGCTGTCTGTTTTTCAGTCTGATTCAGTTTGTGTCCAGGAATGTATAGAAAGGCCAGCCGAAACATAAGAGACGGGGAGAAATTTTGATTTAGGGTCTTATCTGGGTCTCGTCACACATTAATCCCTAGAAGAGAGAGGACAAGCCAGTTTCTCTCCTTTTCCCAGAGGCCACTGCCAGGAAAACTGCATGGGGCAGAGAAAGAAAAGAGCAGTGGTGAGTGTCAGGTGTTAACACTTGGGTGTCCATCTGTTTGCCACACCAGTGAGGACAGTTGTGTTGGCACCTAGGGCAGGAGAAGAAGCCAGAGCCTAGTGATTAGGGTAGGGGTCTGGACTCCAGAAAGGAATTAAGTCACTTCTCCATTGAGAGTCAGAGTCAGTGAAAGAGTTCTTGCTTCCCTGCAACTAAGGTAATTCCATATTTTTTCTGTGTATGACATATATAGAACTTGTGTGTGTATACACATACATATGTACACATATAGCAACATATACGTACATAATATAATAGAAAATTGTCTATAAAGATTAGATACGATTTTTTTTTTTTTTTACCTTCATGTAAAGGTTATTTGAAATATTTTTCCTTCAGAATATAATCTTTCCTAATTTTTTTTCTTTTCCTTGTTTGATCAACTAGTGAGGAAAAAAATTTCTCCAAAGACATTTGAATCTTCCTTTTCCCTTTCCAAATTTTTGCTGAAATCACACAGAGTGATGTCAAGTGAGTACTCAATGAGATAATCACAAAAACAGTGGTGAAAAAATTCTGTTATTGTAGGCCTTTTGACATTTATCAGTGATTTTTGAATATTTATTAAAAGATATCGTTAGTTGCTGGGTGAAAGTATTCCTAGCATTTAAAACATCAGAGTTTGTTTTCTGCCACGTACTCGCTGTATGTATCACTCATTCTCAACCATCATTGTATACGTGTGCATCCTTGTTTATCAAGTCAATTTTGCAGTGCTGGAGAACTTAAAATGCTTTAATAAGAATGTTTTTCTTGGGCTTCCCTGGTGGCGCAGTGGTTGAGAGTCCGCCTGCCAATGCAGGGGACACAGGTTCATGCTCCGGTCCGGGAAGATCCCACATGCCGTGGAGCGGCTGGGCCCGTGAGCCATGGCCGCTGAGCCTGCACGTCTGGAGCCTGTGCTCCGCAACGGGAGAGGCCACAACAGTGAGAGGCCCGCGTACCGCAAAAAAAAAAAAAGAATGTTTTTCTTGCCTGCCAATAATTAACTTACCTTGTAAGGATTAATCAGAAAGTAATTTCTAATAGCATTTTGTTCCCTAAGTTTTATCATGGCTCTTCTAAATAATTTTTATATCACTCTGTAGTTAAATATCCTCCTTTACTTATCTTCAGTAATAATACTAGCTTTAGAACATTAGCTATATTGATAATAAATTTAAAACTTTTAACAGGATTAAATTTCTAGTTGTTTCTGATGAACAGTTTTAACCTGTTCATTATAATGTCTTCATATTATATGTACATCAAATTTCATAAAACAACTGCACTGAATTGGAATGACTTTTAAGGAATCAGACTGGGCCACTCGTCTTCCTAACAAAGATCTACACACCTTCCTGTGTCTACACTGTGTTCTCTGTCTTCCTTCCTGTGCCATTGGCAGAAGTGTCTCTGCTCCTATCCAAGGCCAGTCCCTCCCCTTGTGCATCAGATTCCCTTCTTTTCATCTCCTCTAGGACTTTGCACCCTTCTCCAACATTTACCTCCCTCTACTGAATCGTTCTAGCTACATACAAATGTGCTTCAGTATCTCTCATCTTAAGAGGAAAAGAAAATAAATGGAACCTCTCCTGATCTCATTCCTCCATCTCATCTCTCTGCTTCCATTCACAGCAGAACTTTTCCAGAGAGAACAGAGCACTTACTGTCTTCCCTTCCTCAGCGTCCCCTAACATTTGAACTCACTCTTACCAGGCTTTCATCCCCACCATTCTGTTGTCACTGTGTGTCAAGGTCACCAAAACCTCCGTGTTACCAAATTCAGGGGTCACTTCTATTTTTTGTTGGCCTTGAAGTAAAACATAGTACAGGGATAACTCTTTGCTGGAAATACTTTGATCTCTTAGCTTTCTTACCATCATACTCTTTCTGACTGTTCTATGTCCATCTCTTCTGCTGGCTTCTTTACTTTTAAACATCAGTTGTCCTAGTCCCATCTCATCTGCTCCCATAGCTTTAAATATTGTCTGCCTGCTGGTGGCTTCCAAATTTGTAGCTCAAGACCTACACAAACACACATACACACACACACACACACACACACACACACACACAGTTACTACTTGATATATTCACTTAAATATTTATAAAGGATCTCAAATATATTGCGTACAAAGCACAACTCTTTATTTCCCCCTTCCCAAGACATTGGACTTCTGCCTCCCTCTGTAAGTCTTACTCAGCTCAATAAGGCAACCCACCCATTTGCTCAAGTCAGAAGCATAAGAAGCTTCCTTCTCACTCTGTGTCCCTACCTCCACCCCTATTCAATGTGAGTACACTGTTACCGCAAAGCCTTCCCCTGGGCTTCACCTCCACAGCCATAGGAATCCTGTCCAACCTGATATGTCTTGCTTGATTTACTATGATGACTTCCTAACAGCCTGTGCCCTTGGCCCTTTTCAATCCATGTTTCACACAGTGGCCAGACTGATCTCTTTAAAACTCAGATCATTTTACTTCCCTGCTTAATATTCAAATGACTTCCCATCACACATAGACTAAAATCCAAACTCATGGTTCTCAAGGCCCTACATTATCTGGCCTCTGTGTGCCCACCTCTCACTGGTCTTTTCAGTGACTATGTTCCAGCCCCAGTGGCCTTTCTTTTCTGAGCACAGCAAGGTTTTCCTATATCATGACTTTTGTATCTGCTGTTTCCACTTCTTCCTCCTTCAATGGCTGGCTCTTTGCGTTCTTCAGATTTCAGATGAAAGTCATCCCATCTAAAAGAGACCTCCAACATCAGTTACTCTCTGTCATTTCAACCTGAGTATTTCCTTCATTGCATTTATCACCATCAGCTTTTTTACATTTCATCTCCCTACACTAGCATGTAAGCTTTAAAAGAGTAGTACTTAATCTATTTTGTAGCTATAGATTCAGTTCCTAGAACAGTCCCTGACCATAGCAGACTGTCAATAAGTACTGTTGAATAAATGAATGCTTTGTTATGAATATTTCCATTGTACCAGTGTTTTCTTTGTTTTAATACATTGACAGGACCGGGAAGTATGTCCCTCTGGAATGGACTCCAGTAGCGACAGCAACTCCAGGAATTTACTCGTGGAGGATTTACCGTTAGTATCAAATTCATTATTATGATTATTAATGCCAAGAAGTATTTAATTCTGTGCTCCATTTATGAAAGGAAATTAGCATTATATTGACTCTTATATTTGGGTCTGACGTTCTAAGAATGTATTTAAGAAATTTTATATGTTGAAATTCTGTGCTATGTAGCCAAGCCAAAGCTTTCTTCTATTTAGTTACTTTTTTGATGTCTAGGAATAAAAAGCTTCTCCTGAATTTTTAAACTATGCCCTTCAGTTCTATTTTTCTTGTATCGTGTTTTTATTCTAAGGATTGGTTATTCAAATGATGGTATTTTGCCAGTACTACAAATAGTCTGGTTTAGAAAAGAAATCTAATATCATATTTAACACAGCTTTCACACTGTCTTGCTAATCCAATTCATTCTTAAATACCATCAGACCATATATACCTTCTTCTTCTCTTGGATTAAGTGTACTTTATTTGTTTGCTTATGAATTACTGAGATATAATTAGATACAGTAAAATGCACAGATCTTAATTACACAGTTCAGTGAATTGGACTAATGTATACACCCGTGAACCAAAACCTGAGTTAAGATGCAGAGCATTGCTGTCACTCTGGCCCAGGGTTTCTCAGTCTAAGCGCCTCTGACATTTTGGGCTACATCATTCTTGCTTGTGGGGCTGTCCCAAGCATTGTGGGATGTTTAGCAGCATCCCTGGTCTCCACCCACTAGAGGCCAATAGCAGCCTGCCTCGAACAGTTATAAGAACCAAAATGTCTCTCAACATTGCCAAATATCCTGGGGGTGTTGGGGGGAGGGGGAGGTTAACTGTCCCCAGGTGAGAGCTACTGCCATAAGCCATTCCCTCATGTCCCTTTCGAGTCTGTGCCCCCTCCTTGCAAAAGTAATCACTAATATGATTCCTATCCCCATATTAATTTTAATCATGAATAGTTTTTAAACAGTTGAATGTTAAGATTTGACGAAATATTTATGTGGTGATCAAAAAGCAAGATGAGGTAATTGAGTTTTTATAAGGTTTCTAAAATTGTTATTAGTTGGTTGCCATAACTCTGTTACCTAAACTTGTACTTAAGTTTTGATGTCCTTAGGGGGAAATTCTCTAGAGAAAATAGAGAATAAAATTATAATTAGAATGAAACAGCCATATTAAAGCATAAAGAATGGAAATTTCTTGTTCCATGAACCAAAGGGGAACAAAATTTTTAAAGAAAATGAACAGTATTAACTTCAGAGGAGTCAGTAGGTAAGCACCGTAGAAGTGTTCACTGCCTACAAATCACAGCTCGGCTAGTGATAATGCAGGCTCCTAAAGAAGGATCTAACTGCATTTCTTTGATGTATTTTATAAGTCGATCTGATTGGCTGTTTCTCCAGTTAAATGAAATGGTGAGTTATGGAACGTTTTCAGGAGGAACTGTCCAGTTTGATACATTAGTTCCTCCAGTGGCAGTTGAATGTCAGTCGTAACAAATCAGCCTCCACGTAATCAGCATACGTGTTTTTTGGTTTCATTTGATATAGAACAGATGTACCGATTTAGAGCGGAATTATGAAATGATACTAAAGAAAAGAACTTACTTTGTAGAAAATCTTAAAATTTGTTTTTATTACATAATAAATAAATTTTTGTTTTTTATTGGTATTTTCTAAGGCAAGTTCCTCTTCAGGACGCTGACTTTCCAGGACAAGAAGAATTGTTCCAAATAGAAGGTAATACAAATGAAAATCTAAAAATACTGCTAAAGGCAAGATGAGATCTTTGGGAACAAGTAACATAATTAAATTTCTCTAATTTTTATTTGTTTACCTTTTTAAATCTTCTCGTCTGATATTCTGCTCAAAGCAAATATCTGTTTATTTTACACAGAATAACAAGAGTTTTAAAACACATCCATTTATTTTTCCAAATCTATAGTCAGAAACCTTGCCTATAACTGTGGCTGCAGTTTACTGAGCCTACTATGTGTTACGCTCTGTGTTAGGCATTTAACATATGTTACCGCAGTTAACCCTCATAACGACCTTGGAATATATAGGTACAGACAGTCGGAAGGAAGTAAATATTATGCTCCCCAGATTTTTATTTATTTATAGTAAATGTGGGAAAACTACAGGATGAATTTTCATTAGTTCCATTTTTAACTTTGAATTCTAAGATTCTTGAAATTTAAATTTCCATAAAGTAAAACTATATTTCTCATTTGTTTTTTTAAATTCTCAGAGCCAGTACCTAATATTTCTCAAGACAGACTGGGATTCGATTTGGATTCAGGTGAAGATAAGTCAACAGATAATGTCTTACCTAGAACTGTATCTCTCCGTCGCAGTTTAAAGAAACATGTCAACAATCCATGTCAGTTCAAAGCCTTGGATGATTTTGGAATCAGTCATTTGTCAGAGCAGTTTTTGGAGCTGGAAAGAATTAGATTTGTAGACCCACCAGTAAACACGCACATACCTGAAAATGTAGAACAAAATTTTTGTCAATGGAACAAGGATGAAATTTACTTATCACCAAGGCTAATTCACCCAGGACCATCTACTAAGACAAAAGAAGACATTTTAGAGTATAAATTAGACCAAACTAAAAGTAAGCACAGAGCTGCCCAAGGAAGAAAAAGAGAAGAGAAAAGAAAAGCTAACAAAAGGAAAAAAACAAAATCTGTCTCAAAATATAAAGGGAGCAAAAAAAAAACTGTTTCCCAAAAAAAGTTGGATAAATCTGTTACCTCTAGGGATGCTTACAATTTTAATTTGCAAGAGGGTGTTCATCTTACTCCTTTCCGACAAAAAATGAGCAATGATTCTAAAAGAGAAGAAAACAACAATGAATCTGAAGTGAGCATCTGTGAAACAAGTGGTTCAGGAGATGATTCTGATGACCTCTATCTGCCCACGTGCAAGTACAGTCAAGATCTCACCAGTGAATCGGATAGGAGTCCAGTCACCAGGCCTCGATCTAAAAGAGCACTGAAACATAGGGGTGAAAAGGAGACAGAGGGTTCTGAGCCAACAAAACCTCCTCCTAGTAAGTGATTTACTTGTTTGCCTGCATTTTTAATGTTTATGATAAATGATCACTCCCGGTGCTTATATACTATACTTACCATCTGTTTCTCTGGAGGAGGTTACAGACTTACCATCTGTCTCTTTGGGGAAAGTTACAGTCAGATTAAATAGTGGGGAGCTGTGGGGTGGAAATCACAGTTGTGTTGCTTCGACATGCTTTAAGCTAATTTAAATCCTCTTTAAGAACAAATACTACTTGTTATGGAGAAAGCAATTTTACTTTCAGTAAATGAAAGCTTCCAAGGCGAGGAAAAACTTTTGTGGAGTTTAAGTTGAATTTAAATGCCTATTACACACTCCCCTGAAACATCCCGTTGAAAATGAAATCAAACTTGAATCCAGTGACCTGTAATTTTAATGGCTTTGCTTTATATAGTCAACTTGACAAGAACCACAATTTAAAATAATTTTCTGTTTAGTGAAGGTGGCCTAATTAGACCAAGAAAACCTTTTCCTCAATTGATGGGCTTAGTATTCTTTTGTAAGACATTTGTAAAACATCTAAGAACTGTGGCTTAGAAAAATCTTGCTTTTATTGGTTAGATCAAAAAGTAGGCATGGGGGCTTCCCTGGTGGCGCAGTGGTTGAGAGTCCGCCTGCCGATGCAGGGGACACGGGTTCGTGCCCCGGTCCGGGAGGATCCCACGTGCTGCGGAGCGACTGGGCCCGTGGGCCATGGCCGCTGAGCCTGCGCATCCGCAGCCTGTGCTCTGCAACGGGAGAGGCCGCAACAGTGAGAGGCCCGGGTACCGCAAAAAAAAAAAAAAAGTAGGCATGGTTCAAATGTTGATGATACAGTCTGCACCTGCCCACAGAGATTCTCATCTGGGAATTTTAGTCTGGAGAAACTAACATAAACAGGCAGGTTTATTCCCCAAATATTGTCATGCTAGTTCATTTGATGCTCAGAACAACTCTGTGACATGTAGGTGTGATCATGCTTGTCTTGTTTATAAGGAAACCGAAACCTAAAAAAGCTAAATGACTTTCCAAGGTCAACCAGTTAGGTGGTGGTAGCATGCAAATATCTTTTTAAAAAAATATGCTGTAGGGCTTCCCTTCCCTAGTGGCGCAGTGGTTGTGAGTCCGCCTGCCGATGCGTGGGACACGGGTTCGTGCCCCGGTCCGGGAAGATCCCACACGCCGCGCAGCGGCTGGGCCCGTGAGCCATGGCCGCTGAGCCTGCACGTCCGGAGCCTGTGCTCCGCAACGGGAGAGGCCACAACAGCGAGAGGCCCGCGTACCGCAAAAAAAAAAAAAAAAATGCTGTAATGATTTTAGAGTAAATCAAACAAGATTGGCAAAATATTGATAATTATTGAAGCTGGGTAACTGGGGGCTTATTATACTGGTGTCCCCGTCTTTGTGTATACTTGAAATATTTCATAATAAGTTTTTAAAAGAAAAAAAAATACACTCTAAGATAGTGTTACTCAGAATTTGGTCCCCAGACCATCAGCATCAGCATTACCTGGAAACTTCTTAGAAAAGCAGAATCTCAGGCCATACCCCACATCCTTGATTCAGAATCTGTATCTCTCTAACAAAATCCCTAGAAGATCTGTATATGCTTTGAAGTTTTAGAAGCTTTATTCCGGAATATAGCAACTGATCTGATGTTGTTGTTTAACCATATTTTCCAAACCAAAAGTTGGAATAGTTAGTATGGTACAAGATGCTTATGTAGGGACAAGAAAGACAGAATATTTGAATCCCAAATAACCCTGGACAATGGTTAATAAGTATAAAGTCATTTTACAGTTACAATTTAGTTTTTCTTGGGAAATGATTTGCTTTTTAAAACTATTTTAAGAGCTTGTTTGTCTTATAGTGTTCTTACCTGTGTGCTGGGTAGCTGTCTCCCAATATAGATGTAGCCCCAAGTAGAATAACTTGGATGTTTATGACAGGAAAAACATTGGGTAGCTGTTTAGCTGACTAGCTTTACTAGAGGGAACACCTTTTCTCCTGGTTTACCCAGAGAATACGATTTAGAATTCTCATTTATTTAATAGAATGAGTTTGTGTGGCTTTATAAGACAATAAGAAGTCACTTGATGATAAACTTAGGAATTGAAAGAGATTGAGGCCTGGATGATTCTAAAGAGCAAGGTGTGACTAAATGAAATTGCATAGTTTAAACTAATTCATTGTGCCCAAGCTATCCTAGAAGAATTTTAATTTTTTCTTTAATTTTTAAGAATTTTAAGTTTTAGTAAACTATTGTTTTAGTCAGTTCTTCACAGCTACAGTAATTAATATTTCAGTGTTATCTGGGAGGAAAAAATGGTGAACAAGTTTTTAAAAATCTGTGTTATAAAATGCTGGATTTTGTATACTTTTAAGATGTGTAATTGCGTACAGTTTTAGTTCCTGTGTTTGCTTGTTTGTTTTTTGGAACCATATTCAATAAAACTTGTTTTCTGTAGGTGCACTACCTGAAACTCACCAGTCACCTCATTTTCACCTGAAGGATATCACAAATGTCCCCTTGTATCCTGTAGTGAAAACCAGAAAACTTTCTCTTTCTCCAAAAAAGAATGTAGAAAGCCCACCAGTGTCTTTGCATAAACGTAGGTGCACAGCCAGTGTGAACTATAAGGAACCCACGCTCGCTTCGTAAGTATTTGGCTTGTGGGAGCTAACTTTTAATGATACGCATGGGGGGATTAAGGTTATGGACCTTATTTGAAATACACCATTTTGATGAAAATCTGAACCAGGAATATTAACAATGGCATACTCTACAGTAAATTTATACTGAAGAGTAAGTTAGTATTGGGATGCTTATAATTATGCCTACGAGTTCTCTTTACTCTTACAGGAAACTGAGAAGAGGGGACCCTTTTACAGATTTGTGTTTCTTGAATTCGCCTATTTTTAAGCAGAAAAAGGATTCCAGACGCAGTTCTAAAAAAAAAAAAGCATGAAGCGAGTACAATGAATCGTTTGTTGGATGTTGTTTAAATTCATCCTACACCCTCTTCTGTGGTGCCGAGAGAATCTGTAAGATACTGTTCAAGTGGGTTGAACTATTGCCATAGAATATTCTCTTGACAGGACTCTAGATCGTGAACATTTCTTCAAAACTATGCTTCAAATGTGATGGTTTTTCTTACACCTTTGATACATTTGGTTTATTTTTTCTTTTAGGTATAAATAATTGGACTTAAGCACTATAATAGTTTAGATTTTTTATACTGCCTAATTTTAGTCAAAATGTATCTTATACCAGCATTTGGAAATTAGTGTTTCTTCAGATTAAGATGTTTTAATTATAAGGCATCTTTATTTTTCCCTTAAGTAGGTAATACTATGATTGAATGAATGATTTTTGAAGACAGGCTGAGGATCTTTTGAAACTCTTTGTACAATATTTGAACAAAATAAATCCTTGTCATTCACAGTAGCGTGTACCCTAAGCTGTTTGTGGATCCCTTATACTATTGTTGTATTTGGTTTTTCAGATAAAATGTGTATTAGATCATGATCAGAGAATTGATGGTTGCTTAGGCCCAGGGACCAGGTAAGTGATTGGCTCTGAACCCCCAGCTCCAGGCATACATTGTTCATAGGGATACCTCAGCAAAATCACAAATTATTGTGTCATGGCCTTTCAGTATAGTTACTTGTTTAGTCAAAAACGCCAGATGTTAAATGTGTGAATGCTAAGGGCTTTTTTGTATTTTTGATCAATTCCTAAGGCCATGGCCGGTGGCACCACCAATGACAGAAGTGAGGGATGCTCAAACTTGAGGAAGCCATGAATTCACTCAAGCTAGGTCTTCAGAGAAGTGAAGCCAGTTTGCAACCAAACAAACCTGGGACCAGGCTGTAGAGAGCAGACTGTGGCCAGAGCTGGAGTGGGTCTGGCCTGGCTTAAACTGTGCTCCAGCCTAACAAGGAAAAACCTGCTGGTTTTGGGTCTCTGCCTTTGCCTTTAAATCATGATGTGACTTCTTTTCCCCAAGGTTCCTAATTGAAGAGTAAAATTTTAACTAGTTTAAAAAAAAATTAATTCAGTGAGAGGGAATTAGTTCAGTTCTGAGAGTTTGAAGACTACATTTGTATATACCTCTGTAAAATTTAAAGTTACTCATTTTTAAAGAGCAATAAAGTTTGTATAAGATTAGTGCTTGTGTTTTTCTTCCGTTCTTTAAATATCAGAGGTAGCATATCTCCCTGGTCATCTTTCTCTCCGGCCTTCACCACTCTCGCCCTTTTTGGACATTTCTCTCCCAAACCTTGGTTTTCTCTGTAGTCCTCGCCCCCATAGGTCTCCCATCCTCACACGTCTCTTCTCTTTCAGCTTCTCGTTGTGGAACGGCCCTGTCCATGATCAACAATTTCTGTTTTACTGGGTGATTCTTCTAACCCTGACCTCAAGTTTTCTTGACTGACTCCACATCTTTCTGCATTCCATGCCAGTCACACCCAAAATCCTTTCCATCAGCCCAAGTTTTCCTGTCCCTGAAGGAATCACTGGTTCATATGCCCTACTCTCCCATCACAGTCTCTTATTTTTCTAGTTTGTTTGTTCAGCCACTGCTCTTACAGCTGTTCTTTGAATTCATAGAAACTCTAGAATGGCTATCTTAATTAAGATTGAATACAATGTAAAGTTTAATTTCTCAGTCACAGTTGCTGCATTTCAAGTGCTCAGTAGCCACATTTGGCTCCAGTGGTTACCATACTGGGGACAATGCAGATGTACAACATTCCCGTCACCCCAGAAAGTTCTATTGCATGACGTTGCTCTAGGCCAGC